GCAAGACCGAGTCAAGACCGAGACCAAGACAACGCAAGACCGAGTCAAGACCGAGACCATACCAAATGTAACTTAACGTTGGTCAGTGTGGGCCACACATCTGTACAGTGATCTCTGTAGTTATTAGTGTGGACGGTCCATAACAGTAAAACTGGTTAATGCCTGACTGTTGTAAGAAAAGAACGATAAAAACATCACAGTATGTGCTGTCTGATGGGAAAAAACGTGTCCCAGACATGAAAGATAAATCCAATTGAAAAGTATTGGTTTGAAATTCGTGCTGGGGAACATGAAAAAGTTGGGCAACTATAGATTAAATTTTGTGATTATTTCACGAATTGCCGTGAGACTGGGTTGTGCCGCCGTGGTCTCGGCTGCTCTCGCAGTAAAATCCTGAGTCCTCTGTGCCCGAGACCAAGACAATACCGAGTCGAGTCCAAGACAAGACCGAGACCGAGCTCGAGTACGACAACACTACGATCAGAGCGAGTGGATTATTTTTTAAATTTCTTTTTTTAAATGTATAGGCATAAATCTACTTATTTGTGTGTTTTTATTGGTGTGTCAGCATTCAGTTTATTACCTGTGTACCTCGATAAATGGGATAAAGTGGTTCAATTCAAAGTTAGAAAATAAAGTTCAAAGTAAACCTTTGTTTCTGCTTTATTGTTCTTATTTTTTTCAGCTGCATCACCCAGCCCTGGTCCCAGCTTTCATTAACAAGTTTAAAGTGCACCATCTTTTCATATCTTGGACATCTTCAGGTGGCCTTGCACCTTGTAAAAGTTAATGAAAGACCAAGAAGTGTCAGCTCCATTACAGCAGGGCGACTTCAGACCAGCAAATGTCAGCACGGGGCAACAATGAAATTAAGCTCTTACAGGCTTTGCTACACAGCCTGAGATGTCACTGCCTGCTTCTTGTGATTAAAAGTCGTAGAAAGTAAAGGCAGCTTCCATGAGTTCTGCTCTAACATTCAGTGTCCTACTAAAAATATGCATTCACTGTATAGCCGTTTGTTTTCTTAAAGTCTCAATTATTAAAGTAACAGAGGATTGTTCTTAATGCTCGGCTTCCTTTGCTTTCCCAGGTGGTGGAAATCATTCAGATCCAGATTAAACCCGTCTCACCCTCCCAGCTGATTCTGAGCTTTGATGTCAGGATAAAGCAGTGAAGCCTGCTCCCTGCAGAAACCTCCACAACAAATCACAATCTTCATTTTGTCAAAGCCTCACATCAGCATCCAACACGAGACTCCCTGCTGGGTTTTCATGCAGGACGAACAAACAGCATTCACATTTATCCTCCTCGTATAAAGCCTCCAATACAAACTGCACCTATAGAGAATAAAGACGAGACAAAGCAAATGTTCCTTGGTCTCTTTCTTTTTTCTTTTTTTTTTTGTCGTCTCTGAGAAATTATTCTGATCCTGTGTCTACCTCCAAACTAGTTGCCAGTAAATTACCTTTGAGTCTTTGTGAATCCGGTAAAAACTTTCCTGTTTGTTATGTTTTATGCTTTGCGTCCTGAGGTTAACGAAGTCTCCTCTCTGCTGAGCTCCACAGCAGCTTCTTAGCAACAGAACAAAGATCTCTCCTCTCTGTTTTCTCTATTAGACTCACGTAAACTTCACATTTCACTGGACAGAAGCAGAAAGTCCCATCTTAGAAAAACAACACATTACATCAGACCCGAGTACACACAGCGATAACAACATGTTCTATCCAGTCTGGTGGGTCTTGTTACAGAGCCTCATCGAACGCAGCATCATCAAGTGTTTTCAGGTCAACCTCAGCAGCAGTAACGCTTCCTTACCTTCTCTCTTGTTGAGTTTGGCGAAGCCTGGTGCGTGGCTGCTGGACAGCTGGGAGGAGCTTCTGAAGGACGACGGCGGCAGGTTGGACACCAGGGTGCTGTCACACACCTCTGTGGACCAATTAGAAAGCAGAGACAAAAATCTTGTAAACAACAGACATAGCATATGTGGTCTTTTTTGAATGGGGACAGTTTGTCACGTGTTTTTGAGACTCTGTGGCTCTAATGTTGGTTTCTCTTGTATTGTCACATCCTTAAACACTTGAACAACATCAAATTTGTTTGTAACTTTTTGTAACTGTACTCTGGCAAAACAATTTCCTTCGGGATGAATAAAGTTTATCTTTATCTTTATCTTTATCTTTATTTACACATAATGTAGAGTTTATTCCCCACAGGGAGCTACATCCAGTACAACTGGGCGACTGGATGAATATATCCACATATGTGCAATATTTTCATTCTTACAAGTGCAATATACAGTCTACCTTGGTGTTTACACAAATATTTAGTGTTAAATATAGCTAATTTTGGCTTTTCTACTTCAATGTTTATATTTTTACTATAGTTACATGTACATGCTTGTACTTTACTTATATTTTGCTGTTGTTTTACATTGTACTTATTATTTATTAGGCTTTTTAAAAACCGGGACCTGAGCACTAATTTCGTACCACAAACATGTAAATGTGAGCTGGCTTGAATCCTTGAATCCTTGAATCCTATATCAGCTGTTGGCGATGAGCTGAATACATCGGCAGTTGTTTTTTGGGGGTAATTTTACAGTTCGCCTCTGTGAGAATTCAGCTGACTAACCTGTAAAGTTCAACTGAAAGCGTGCACTCACAGGAGCTTGCAGTTGGAGTTGCACGTGAGGACTCAGGTTGTGAAGCCACTGTGAAGTGCATCCAGATAGAACTGATTCAGTTTCTGCAATCAGTCATAAAGTGTGTAAATAGGCACACATTTCAGTAAACAGTTGTCTAAATCTGGGGTGTTTTCTGTGTAACAGTGAAACTGGGTGTACCTGTGAAAGACTGCACCATGTCTTACAGCTTCAATAATATCTATTTCCTCCTTTGAAACACAGCTTCAGTCCACAGATGTCTGCCCCTGTCTGTAAACAGCAGCTTTCAGTGTTGATAGGGACATAAAAGCCCACTTTATGCATGGTTGCAATTGTACCTCCTTCCCTCTCTTCATCTCTATAGTGGGGCAATAAATGCGAGTTAGCAGGTACAAGCCAGGCGAGAGTAAAAACACTTAACTAGAACCAGAGGTCTGTCATGTTTACGAGCCGCAGACCTGGAAAGGTAACATGTCTCTTTACGAACCTATAGTCACTGAATCAAATAGTTGGGTCTCCGAGTTGACAGCGTTGTGTCCAGAACAGATTATTAGAGTTTACATGAATGCATCACAAACCTGTGCAGAGACGTTCATAATACTATTAGTGAACTCCAGAGTGATTCTGTTCTGCAGTGAAAAGCTGCCAATATGTTTTGTGCATGGAGACAAAAGGCTGTTGTCCACATGTGTGTAAGAAAGACAGAGCAGCTTTACAATGAAACACGTGTTTACCATTTAAGTAGGAAAAAAAATATAAAATCAACATGTAGTAATGAGTGCTGATATTATGATGGGACACCACAAATAAATCTGTGTATGCAAAACACTGATTAAACACTACTGGATTCTTTCAAATAATGCCGGACACATCAGCAAATATATCTGCATAATGGAAATTTTCAATAAATCACCCAGTTGTAACATCCAGCCAATGAAAACGGTTATACTGTATATTAGGCATAAGAGGAGTTTCCCAAAGTGTGAAGTCATGCATTTGTTTGCAAAAACATTTAAAACTGTGACCTCAGGACTGAGCTCCATGTCAAAGTAAGCACAGAAGCTGTAGAGCTGTATTGTGAAAGCTGTCGGATCCAGTGTTTTAGGGGTTAAAAATCCACATTTTTATAATTTCACCTTTTTAAACCCAGAGTCACAAGGTGCTTCACAAAAGAGCACCGATTAAACAATAAAAGAGATAATGAAATATTAAAAAGGGCAGCAATAAAACATTAGAAAAGGCAATGAAACATTAAAAAGGGCAAACATGACTCATTAGAAAAGGCATTACAAAATGTTACACAAATCTGCACAGACGGGTTTTTACAAGCTCTTCAAACTGAGATACTGAGCTTGTTCCACAAGCAGTAAAAACAATGAAATCACAGCCTTCCTGGTCTAATCCTCTGCTGCTCATTTCTTTGTTAAACCCATCTTTTGTGAGCTCATCCTTCTTTATCCAAGCTGGACTTTAAATGACAAGACTGGCCCTTTAACATATTTATAGAATGTACAATGTGGTAGGAAACTATATGCATATGTACTATATGTAGGGTCCATGCTTCCATAACAACAGCTGGATAAACCTGCATGAGACAAATAAAAAAGTTCCTGAAAGTTCTCAGAACAAGTTACAGAAACAATTTCATCAGCTCTCCAAAACAAATTTAAATTATCTGCTAATTATCCAGTTTTACAAGCAAATCAGCCTCAATCAAGCCTTATTAGATCATCAAAACATCGATTACAAACAAAGACAATAGTAGAGCAGCTAATGCATGAATTATAACTCAACTCACAAACACACATTTTAGCAGCTAAACAGGGATTTATCATTAAAGGAGTTTCACCTTTAAGCAACACTATTTCTGCAGCTGCTGAGTGAACTTTAAAGCTAAAACCATATCCAAGAGCACATTTGGATCCAGAGACAAGCTCACTGCAGCATCCACTCAACCTCCCAGAGTGAAACAAAATTAAGAGGCTGAGAAAAGTGGACGGGCGTATCACACATCCAGAGTGATGGAGCACCTACAGGTTCAAGAGAGCAGATGTAGCTCAGTGAGAAATGGGGTATTTTTTGTTGAGTTGCTGGTTTAGTGTCAGCTAAGTGGAAAAACAAGCTTTCGACAGCACAGTACTGTCTCTAAGTGCACAGTAAGTAGTTCATAACAGTAGGTTGGCACGAGAATGTCTCCTCTCTAGGCATGAAAATAAACATTTCTGTTGTTCAAAATCGTGAGGAAAGTTTGACTGAAGTGTCTGAACTCCTCTGCAGAGTGAGGAACACAGCTGAGCAGTTTGCAGAGCAGAAATCGACAGTACAAACTGCAACGAGGATACCACGATGCCCGACGCAGCTGGAGGTGGATTATTCTCTGTCTCTTAGTCTGAATGAAAAACAGTTAAATTGTTAAAACCAGCAGGAGGGGAGCTCACTGATGCTGAGAGGAAAAGGCCCTTGTATCTCTAAATGATCAGCTTTTCAGGATGAAACAAGTTCAGTGCGACAGCTTTTTGTTGCACTCTAAAGCCTTTAAGAGGTAATAATGACAAAAGAACTGTTGAGTCTGTGAATTTTGCAACATGAGTGGAGTCTAATCAGTCCAGAGCAGGTTTAATGTTCCCCAGGTGGAAACAGGTCTTTCCGCTGTAATGGCACCACACTTAGATGAATGAGCAGCGTAATAATGTCCAGTTGGACGAGTGAATGGTGTAATTCTGCCTCGATGGATAAATGAATGCTGTAATCATGTCGTGTTGAGGAGATGAATGGTGTCCTGACTGACTCATTACAGGCCGGATACTGATGGAGATGAATCAGTGTTGTCAGAGGAAACCTTTACATACTTCACACATTTGGTTTATGCCTGATTGGCTGTAATAAAAACATCATATATTATACATTATGCAATAATTAACATTTATTAGACTTGTTTTAATTGGCTTCTCTCCCAGAAGCCTGTAAAAAAAAAATCACAAACATGTTTTTTTTCTCCTCACATTGAAGCACCGCGCTAGTTTTACTGCAGCTATTTCTTCCATTCGTTAAACACACATAACAGAGATTTAATATAATAAGCCATAAGACACAGGATAGAAATTAATGTTTGTTTAATGAGATTGTGGTCTGCACAGTGTAACTGTATCACACAGAGATTCATGAACGTCAGCTTCATTAATATTCACAGTTTTCCTCTCAAGCAGCAAACTGTAAGCTAAAGCCAAAGCAACGCTGCCTCCATCTAAAGCCTCTCTGCTAATGGATGTTGTTCTCCACCACCGAGACAAGAGCCAATTACTATGATTCACGCTGCAGTCCGACCCGAGCCCACAACTCCGACAACAAGGCTTTAGCTTCGATTACTCTGTCAACATCGGGGTACTTCATCTCCACGGCACGAGTCTTCATCTGCCTCTCGATATCCAGCACGGCCTGATAATTTTATTTGCTAAAATGGAATACCACTGTACTTCCAGAAACACTTCTCACATGGAATTTGTAGTTAGACAAACTCAACAACAGCATTGGCTTATTTGAATGAAATGAAAAATGCTTTATTTATCCCGGAAAGGAAATTCAATTTATTTCAATATTTATATAATATATATAATATACAATATAATATACACACAGTTTGTTTTTTTTGTTTTTTTGCTATGGCAGCCATTTGAAGCAAATCTCCAAACTAAAGGAAGGTGTAAGGTCACCGTGGACTTCGCTAAGATATCTGCAATATGTAAACAACAATTTGTGCAGCTTGCATCAGTGTTTGGACCCATTTGGTCTGCAATGGCTTTGGTGAAATGTAACGACACCAGTTGGTGCTTTTAGTCATTCTTGAGTAATAAAAGTGTGTTGAAGAGCTCCATTAGTGAGAGCAAACACACATTAAGTCAGCTGAGGACAAGGCAGCCAACAGCCTTACCCGACATCACGACCTCACACACACACAGCATCAAATGCAAGATGTGCAGCAGCGTTTGTCCTCCACATCACATCCACAACACGCATGTATCATTGACTGTCAACCAATCCCTTGTGGGCGTTTATGCAGTTTAAATCTTGCATCAGAAGGGAAATATGCCACTAACAATAAAAAGTATTGTTGTTTTTACAGAGGCAACAACATGCAATACCAGTGTGAATAAACTCATACTCTGCTTATGAAAAATTCTGTCTGCAAATGTCCTTTAAAGACAGACAAAGTTAGCAGCTGGCTGGTGAACACAGCGGATGATTTAGCAGAAAAAATGCCAATGTT